GTGTGTGTGAGTGAGTGAGTGAGTGAGTGAGTGAGTGAGTGAGTGAGTGAGTGAGAGTGTGTGAGTGAGTCAGACACTGAGTGCCGCTTTTCCATAGTTTGTGCTTGCGGTTTAATAATCATTTGAAACTCTGCAAACTAGCCGCTCCAGTAGTGATGAACAGATTTATCTTGAACTCTGTCATGGAAACTATGTATAATTAAACATTTTAATACTCAATTAATAAGGAGCTTAAACCTGTATGATGTTACGCTGGATCAGTGGTTTGGGAAATGGATGGATGATTGATTCAGCGAGCGCCACCTTCTGGTCAGACGCAGGAATTCATTCAGCACGCGACTCTCGCAGTGCATTATGGGTATTCTCCAGCCGATGAGCGTACATCGGATGCTATGATCAGATGTACACTCGTTATTGCAGTGCATTGTGGGATTGAATGAGTGCACTTTATAATGTCCACTATGGTTACAGACACATATACAAATGTCTATTCCCTCACATAGTGCCCTATTTAAGACTATAGAGGCGATTTAGGACACATCGTTCTTAAAACACGGCGCTCAAGATAAATGAGGTTCATCTTTTAAAAAGCACGTCTCCAGTGACCAACGTCTCGCGCTTTTAACAGCAAAAATTAATTCTATCATTTTTCTTGTATCATGATTTAAGAATGTTTGGATATTTGTACTGGAAAACAAGACAAAAATATTAAATAAGAAAATAATTTTTGGCATTAAAGTGAGGTACTGCACATATGGAGGCTACCGGTAACCATGACAAGCAGTGACTTATTAGCTAATGATATAGATGCAAATTAATTTATAAAACGTTACATATTTGAGAGTGAGCAACAGAGGAAAGCCTTATTAAGATTATTGAAGAAGCGAGTGATTCTTACAGCAACTCCAGACGGTCCTGGACGCCCCCTTTCACCAGGCAAACCACGGGGACCCTGAGGAACAACACACACACACACACACACACACACACACAGCCATCATTCGTCAAGGGAATATTAACAGTCTCAAATGTTTTCCCAAAAGATTCCTTTGTAGAAAAAAAAGTGAGTCAATAGCTGAATGTGGAGCGCTGCTCAGATCAATATGACCGAGTTCATACAGAAATCTCTGACTTTTGAAGTGTTTGGTATCTTTGAGACATCACTGAGATCGGAAACTCTAGAGAAGACACATCTGATATTACTTCAGAGGAAATCTCCATTCCCTCGCCATTTAATCTCATTGCTGTCTCTACACTGCAAAAAAAATTATCTATATTTTGTCCTGTTTTCCAGAACAAATATCTAAACATCTTTCAATCAAGATACATTTACTGGAGACCCAACATAACTGAAGATATTAAAACTTGCTTTATAAAACCTCATCAAAATGAAGTGGGTTTATGCTTAAAATATGAGCAAGTATCTGCTAGTAGAGTCAGAAAAATAAACTGAATTCAAAGGGAAAACGAGATTATTTTTCAGACCCCATTGACAGATATTTGTTCTTGTTGTAAGCAAAAAACTCACTTAATTTTGATTAACTTTAAACAAGAGTTAATATCTTCAGTCATGTTGCGTCTCTAGTAAATATATCTTGATTGAGTAATGTTTGATATTTGTGCAGGAAAACCAGACAAAAATACTGAGTAAGAAAACATTTTTTTGCAATGCAGGAGAAACTTAAGAGATCGTATGCGTGTTTTGCTCTTTCCTATCTGGGAATTTGGTTGCAATATTTGTATTATTTATGCAATGTTATTAAAAAGTGCAATATTTATGCACTTTATTGTCTCATATATGCTGACGAATGTGATCTTCTGAACTTGTGGCAGTTTATTGAGCGCTTGATCAGACTCTAGCATGTGTGTACTGATGTTTGTTTCAATCTGATGTTTGATCGACACACTGCAGCTGTATCAGAAATAAAACTTTACTAAATTTGAAATCATTTGTGCAGGACAACAGGCGAGCGCAAGCCTACCATGGGTCCGGGAGCGCCACTTTCTCCAGGAGAGCCGGACTCGCCCTGACAGACACAGACAGAGACTCAGACACTGAAATACTCATATATGTGATGCTGGAAAGGTCATGTGTGAAGGTCATACTTTTGCTCCAACGGCTCCAGACTCTCCTTTAGCCCCGTCGAGACCCGAATATCCCTACACACAGATCAACACGTTTAGTCACGCGGTTTACACTTCACATCATGCAATATGGCAGCATTAAGGCGAGACACTACAGGCAAAACCGTTGTTTTTTGTCTTCATCTTCAAAAACAAAAAAACATACAAAATATTTAAGCGTTTATTTTATTACACTTTGTTTAACTGCATCTGTAGATTTCAATTCCAATACGTCTTTAAAGGCGGCAAATTTTATTCCTATTTATATTCTGAAGGTTTGTTCATATATCAATCACCCTGATTTAAACAAAAAGGTATTTTGTTTTCTTTGGCCGTTGACTATTTTCTATTTTCTATTCTTTTTATCTCACAATACTGACTTTTTTTCTCACAATTGCAAGTTTATTTCACACAATTCTGACTTTATTTTTCACAATTGTGAGGAAAAAAAAATCTGAATAGTGAGATATAAAGTCACAATTGCCTTTTTTTTTTATTCTGTGGTAGAAACACGCTTCTTTTTTATTTATGGAGAGATAAAAAGAGATACACAAAATGTAAAAACCCTCTGTAAAAAACTTTAACTCTAATATGTCAACAAAACGTAACAAGAATTTTGAACCTGGCTTTAATCAACGGTCAGATTTCTGTTCTGGAAATTAGGTAATGCCTAATTTGCATATTTAAACATATTTCAGAAAACTTGTAATACAAAACAATAACAGTAGGGCTTTTCCCTTTTTCTTAAAGGGACAGTTCACCCAAAAATGTTAATTCTGTCATTGATTACTTACCCTTTAGAACGACGATAACCTGGGTTTAAAGGGATAGTTCACCCCGTTCTAACCCCCGCTTTTAACCCAGAGTTTCACTACTCTAGTTTTAAAGCGGGGTTTTAGTACTCTAGTTTTTTCAAACTGCATGTTTAATGTAAACAGTAGCATGTTTCAGCATTTGAGAGGAAAAAAGTCAAAATTGTGACAAAAAATGCAACAATTGGACAGAAGAAGAGACCGTTTACAGTCTGAAGATCCATTCCGGATCCTTTATAGTACAGTCGGCAAAATATAACGAGGATGTGTATTGCTAGTGCAGTTTATGAATACCCAAGATTAATTGTTAATTATGAGCAATTTACAACGTGAAGCAAAATAACCCATGATTCCTTTTACCCGGGTTAACAATGATGCAGGGTGAAATATTTTAAGTGTGAACAGCCCTATTTTTACCCCGTTCACTTGTCGTGTCTTGCCTTAAAGAGACTGACCACTGATGAAAAAGTGCACTAACTCTGTGTCCCTTGATTCCAGGTAGACCTGGTGTTCCTGGGAATCCACGAGCTCCCTGTGTTTAGAGAGAGAGAGAGAGGGCGAGAGAGGTATGAGGTGAATGGAAGTATTCAGACGTCTCTTCTTTCTCTCTCTGGCCTAAGGCCACAGCTGCGTCTCACATCTGGGCAAAAGCTTGAGTCTCCGCATCTCTGCACTTCTCACATGGATCAAACACTTTAAGGCGGGTTCAGTTTAAAACAGTTCACCTGAGGTCCGACAGGTCCACGTTCACCACCTTTCCCAGGTGTCCCAGGTTCGCCCTACAGGAGAAAAACATCATACATTCAGCTTTGAGTCGAACACTGAGCTGAACAGCAGCTTCTGGCGACAGCGAGCGCTTCTGTGCTCAAATGTCATCTTGTGGAGGAAAACTGCAACTACAAACCCAGCGGGGCATGAAAGATTTGCATTCATGCTTCTACATCAAAGCTGCAGTTAACTGGGAACACGCAGACAACACACACATTTTACACACTTATTTATATCTATAGCGCTTTTTGCAACAAGATTTAGCCAAAGCTATGGAAGCTTGTTTCCGCCACAGAATAAAACATTTTATAAGATATTTGTGACTTTTTATCTCACAATTGCAAGTTTACATCGTTATTTTTCAGAATTGTGAGATATAAACTGCAACTGCGAGTTATAAAGTCCAACTCTAAGGAAATAAAGACTTTAAATGTTTTAAATAAACTTTAAATAATTTTTTATCAGATTTGCGTGTTATAAAGTCAGAATTGCGTGTTAAAAAGTCAGAATTGCGAGATATAAACATGTAATTCTAAAAAAAAAAGTCAGAATTTCAAGTTTACTTCTTGAAATTGCGACTTTATATCACGCAATTCTGACTTTATAACACAATTGCGACTTTATATTACGCAATTCTGACTTTATAACACAAATGCGACTTTATATCACGCAATTGTGAGATAAAAAGTCGCAATTACCTTTATAATTTTTCATTCTGTGGAGGAAACAAGCTTTTCATTCAAAGCAGCTTCACAATAATAAACAGGAAAATAAAAGTGACAATGTTGAAAAAATAATCAATTATAAAACAAATTCAATTTGAGCTATAATAAAGCAGCTCTACAGAAAACAATAGCTTCATTATTCAGCTCAATTCTGTTCAGATACTGTCAGTGCAGTTAAATATATAATATTACAGAATATTAACTGTCTTTTAAACCACATTTAATAGACATGTGCTGACGCAAGTGACATTAAGACATTAAGAGATCTTTAAGTGTGTGTGTGTGTGTGTGTGTGTGTGTGTGTGTGTGTGATGTGGGCAAGAGAAATGGAAGGAATGGAGTCTGAAGAGAAGAACAGCTGGAGTCAGCAATACTGAGAAAAACACCTTCGGGAAAGTTCACAGAACAATAATCGTTCGGTGGGTGATTTGATCACGCGTCTTTACAGAACATATGAGGACGAATCATATAACAGTGTGACCTCAGTTAATCATGAGGACGCCTACAAATGCTGACGTGAGAATACTTACATCATCTCCTGGTTTTCCTGAGGGACCGGGAGGGCCACGGGGACCCATTGGGCCCTATGAGGAGAAAAGAAAAATGTGAATTATGTGACCGATTTGAGATATGAGTGAAAACACTGATTGTTAAGAACAATGTATTCAGTGCTTAATATGTGCTTTGTGCATCAAAAAAATGGTAGCACTTCAGAATAAGGTCTTATTAGTTAATGCATTAACTAACAATGATTGTACAAATTGTAGTCTTGAGTTTCTTCCGGGAACGAACACGTCACGAAATGCCTCATTATAATAACTCATACGCAGAATAAAGGGGCGGGGCCTGGTTGAGTCAGTTAGTAGTGTGTTGAAACTGGAGGTTATGGTAAGGGGCGGGACATTTCCCAAACACTCGAAGCGCTCGACCAATCACAACACACGGATCCAGCCGGGCCAATCAGAGCACAGTGTGCTTTTCAGAAGGAGGGGCTTCATAGAGACAGGAAGTAAACAGAGCGTTACTGACAGACTGAGAAGAGAGGAGCCGCAACAATGGAGAATATGAGGAAAATAATCAACATTCAAGCATAAAAATGTATGTTAAAAAATTTAACCTTATTGTAAAGTGTTACCAAAAAAGTTCATAAACGTTCAGCCAGCTCACTGACCTAAACTCAAGATCTAGAGAGGCTTGTTATGATTAGGACTATTACGGCTGAATGAAGTGGCATTTGCACACTGGGAGTTTGACTGCAATCGTCAGTAATGAGGGTTTTCTCTGGATACGTACAGATGATCCGGGCTCTCCGGCTTCTCCATGGTTGCCTTGAAATCCTTGTGGACCCTACAGCAAATAGAGACCGAATTCACATCACAGACTTTCAGTCCAGTCTCATGCCAGAAACAATATTTATATGATCAGTAGTGTACAGTGAGAAGAAGTATTATTAGACTGCTGGAGTAAAAGCCTGAAACACAGGAGTGTGTTTACTATAGAGACATACTTCTTCCAAGAATATCACTTAGCTTTAATGTAACCCTTCATATAAATGGTATAGTTATTAACAAGAAAACTTTATTTCATTTAATATGAAATGAATATGAAAAACACATATTTTCTATGTAGAAGAAAGAGAGTAATTATCTGTTTGCATGATGGTAGGAAAAAGTTTTGCATTGTTACACACCGTGTCCAAAGCAAACGCGACGTGATAAGATTCAAGCAATCTGTCCACATTAGAGATGACACGACTACGAGATGCGACAAAATCAATCAAAAATCACAGCCAATCAGAAGAGCGTGTGGGCGGAGCCTCACTGCAAGCGCACTGCACTCACAACCAAATGGATAAGTACATAATCATATTCATAAATATTACATTTTAACACGAATAAATACATACTGAGTGACTGAAACAATCTTTGTCATTGAACACACTTGTTTGTTCACAGTTCAACATATATTTTCAATTATTATTCTGTTAACATTAAATAAAGCACATAATCAGTATCTAAGATTATCATTGTCATAGTTGATATGTTGTTGTTCCAAACGGGACGTCGCAGAAAAAGAAACCGTTAGTAAAATTTAATTTTCACATATCAATGTCACGGCTGGTTATGACAACAACTCTTAACATAAAAAAGATTCACGACGCATCTAATTAGGAGACGTTAATTAAAGAAAAAACTCTATTTAGAACCTTAAAGTGTTCCATCAGATGCTTTATGAATATTTTCCCATCATTTTATGGATTTAGTTTTAATTAAGTTTTTTTATTGTAATTATATTAATTGAATTAAACAGCTCGCAAACATACTTTATCACTAGAAAAAAATGTAAACAACCCATTAAACATGAAAGCATTATGCAATCATTTAAGTAATTTCTTTTTATACAACCTTTTTTGCCATAAAGAGTTCTTTAAAATGAAGTCGAGAACCCTAGAGTTCTATTTATAACCTTATTTTCTCAGATTGTACAGAGAGGATGATCACTATTTGCTAACCAGTATGTGTGTGTGTGTGTGTGTATGAGAGAGATGTTATTATTTACTTTAGGAAGCTTAGGATCATCTTACACATGCTGTTTTTGCTTGTCTTTCAAAGGATGGAAATTCACATTCACATTTCAGTCGTATCATAACTTATTATCACGGATTGAGGAAATACACTCACAGGAGATCCGTTGGGGCCTGGTGGTCCTCGTGGACCCATCGGACCCTGAAGAACAAACATAACAACAGAAACCATTAGTGCTTTCACAGGGATATAATGAGACGCTGTGGGTTATCTCGTGATGTCTTCATGGGAAACGTTCCCTCGGGACATCAGAGCGACTCGCTGAAGCAGAAACCCTGAGATTACACACACACACACACACACATCAGCTTAGGCGCTTTGAACCCGTGTGACTTTACCAGCAATTAAATGTTTCAGAGCCACGACTGGTGCACTAAACCACCGCATGATCATTAAAAAAACAGGTAATAATTATAATGCTTTTGAACCTGACTGATTCTCCACATTAATCAGTGCTTCTGCATTTCTAGTAATATTTGTTGACTTTTATTGAAACAACTATTTGGATGCATGTTACTAACAAGAGCGATAGGCAAAGAAAGCGTGGATGTTTAGGTGTCATCTCCTGAACCCACACGTGCTGCGATGAGTCCGAGCTCCTGAATGCTCCTGAATGCCTGCTAGTGTTTAAAGGGACGGATACATACGTGTGCGCAGTGGGAGTTTCCCAGAACTGTTAAAGCGCTCTATGTGTTCCTGCACGTCACATAATTGAGCCTGTGAAGGAGCTTATGGAATCTTCTTATGTCAGTCGGGACACAAAAATATACTTTCAGATGTTTGCATGCTGCGGGAAAATGAGGGTGCACTTTATTTTACAGTGTGTGTACTTATAGTGTATACTTGCCTCAGTGAGTACTGGGTAATATAAGGTAACTACATGGGTTAGGGGGAACACTTTACAATAAGCCTCATTATTTAACATTAGTTAATGTATCAACTAACAATGAGCAATACATTTGTTACAGTGTTTATTAATCTTTGTTACGGTTAGTTAATAAAAATACAGCTGTTCATTGTTTGTTCATGTTAGTTCACAGTGCATTAACTAATGTTAACAAATACAACCTTTGATTTTAATACCGTATTAGTAAATGTCTAAGTTAATATTAACTAAGATTAATAAACGCTGTAGAAGTATTATTCAGTCTTAGCTCATGTTAACAAATGTAGTTAACTAATGTTAATTAATGAACCTTATTTTAAAGTGTTACCGGTTTAGGGTTAGTACCAAGTTATTACCCTGTTATTGCAATTACATACTATAATAAGTATATAGTATGTACATGGGGAACAGGACTGTAATAAAATCTAGATTATCTGAAAATCATCAAAATACTCTATTTGGATTCTATCCAGAGCCAGATTTCACTTTGTAAATTACTTGAATATCTGAAAACCGGACTCATTTTTAGCCTGTTTACAGTCCGTGTTTATTGCCATTTTTCATATTTTAGTAATCCTAAATTAGGTATCATTCGAAAGCTTAAACACTCACAAATTCTCGTTTTGAAATTGGGCATTGGGTTAACATGAAAACGGTCCGTTTAATCCTTTTAGACTGATTCATTTTTGTAATATAAACTTCAAAATCTGGAACACAACTTGGTTAGACACATGGCTTTGATTTGAAAAATGTTCAGTTCAGCACATTTGCCTTACTGTAAACTTAAACTTCTATAACTTTTGTAAAACTTTTTTTTGTAGACTTTCAAGTGCTTTCCTGCAATAATCTGCCGAGTGTCGTCTTTAAAAAGAGACCAGCGTTAGGTCTATATTCCAAAGCATTCATCAATTAAGATCAGATCTATTTAAGATCAGATCTGTGTTCAACAAGAGCGGTGGCGGTTCACGGGTTAAATGTGGTAATTAAATCTGTTTTAATGACTTCAATGACCAAAAAATCACCAATTAATAGAAAAATATCTGCTCGCCGATGCACTGTGATTCATGCAGAGGTTCTGAATCAATTCTAGAGAATCTCTTTAGCTTTTGAACTGCCACACACACACACACACACACACACACACAACTTTAAACTAACGTATAGTAAATGACTAGGGCAATCGTGGGCTTTATTGCACAGGATATCCGCCGAGAAAGCAGGGCTTTTGCCAGATGTTACGCTTACACTGCACAGAAATGATGATCTTCCTCAGTGTTTCTGTCTTGCTTTCCAGTACAAATATCTAAACATTCTTAAATCAAGATACATTTACCGGAGAAGCAAAATGACTGAATATATTAAGACTTGTCAACAAAATAAAGTGACTTCATGCTTAAAATAAGAACAAATATCTGTTAATTGGGTCATAAAAATAAACTTAATTCAAAGGGGAAACAAGATTATTTGTTCTTGTTTTAAGCAAAAAGGTCACTTAATTTTGATCATTTTTTCAGTAAACAATATGTATATGTGCTGGAAAACAAGACAAAAAACACTGAGTAAGAAAATCTTTTTTTGCAGAGTATTGCTTGTATTGTGTTTCTTTGTTCTTCTTTATTATTGAATAGTTTCAAAGCTATATTTAATTATTATTTAATCATACATTTTTTAACTATGTACAATTTTTTTATTGTTATTGTATAATTAACCTAAAAAGTTCTATATAATTAAGTTGTATAAATAAAATAAACATTTAAAGTCAGAAGTGTTCAATAGCATTTTTTGGTATCATGAATCGCTGCATTTCAGATCAGATCGTGACACAACGCAATGAAAACCAGTGAAGATTCACAGCTCTGGACAATACAGTTTTAAATAGCACAGATCTCCACTACATGATGATGTGATGATAGCGCCCACCATTGGTCCTTGCATCACTCCCATCTGAGCTCCTCCTGCTTTATCATCAAACCCACCGGCCATCTGAGAGGCGAAGTTCTGGAAAAGAGCAAAATCATTCGGCATCGTCTAAATGTAAAACGTCAATACAAGTCCACATAAAAAGCTCCAGTTCTTCTCTATATCAGTGTCAGTGTTTCCGAACTCCTGAAACGCCTCCATTGTAGTCTTGAGCTTCTACCGGGAACGAACACGTCACAATATTCCTCATTATAATAATTCATACGCAGAATAAAGGGGCGGGGCCTGGTTGAGTTATTTAGTAGTGTGTTAAACTGGCGGTTATGGTAAGGGGCGGGACATTTCCCAAACACACTCGAAGCGCTCGACCAATCACAACACACGGATCCAGCCGACCAATCAGAGCACAGTGTGCTTTTCAGAAGGAGGTGCTTCACAGAGACAGGAAGTAAACAGAGCGTTACTGACAGACTGGGAAGAGAGGAGCCGCAACAATGGAGAGAATGGGGAATTAATCAACATTCAAGCAGGAAAACCTGTTCTAGTAAAAAATAATACGGCATAATATGGCCTCTTTAATATACATAATAAGAAAAATAGCAATGGGGTGTTTAGATCTGTAATCCACACAGTTTGGATAGCTTTGCTCTGGAGATTTGATCCGCTGAATGCAGGTAAAGGACAAACTCCTCTTTCTGTTTCTTTATTTCGCTCTCAATCTGACAGCTAACGAACTCTCTTTTTTTTCATTGCATTTCAGTCGGTATCGTCTCATTTAGGGTATTTAGGTCTTATATCAGATAAAATCATATGGAGACTGTAAAGCTAAGAAGCACTTACTCCGCCGAGGCCTGGGGTTCCGTTTGGGCCCGGCGGTCCCGGAGGGCCGGGGTTTCCAGGGGTTCCCGGCTCACCGTCTCTGCCACGAGGACCTGGACTTCCCTAAAGACGGTCAGTGTTTGTCATTCATCTGAGAGAAACACTGAACATCCAGTACCAACTGTGTGCTAAACAACAATAATAATGCGTTCACGGCCCATTAGCCGTCGAAATATCCTGTCAAATGACACATTACTGCTGTGTTATTTTTAGGACTATAAAAAAAAGGTGATTTCAGGTCCACTTTGACCATTTTTGCAAGCATGCAATTTATTTACAATTTAGAAGAAAGAAAAATCAAAACATTGATTAAAATTGACATAAACCCTGATTCACCAGCTCAAATTAAAGACGACTCTGTACACTGCAAAACAATGATGTTCTTCCTCAGTATTTTTGTCTGGTTTTCCAGAACAAATATCTAAACATTTTTAAATCAAGATACATTTACATTGATAGACGATATAAGTCTTGTTTCCTTAATGTCTCAAAATTGAGTGAGTCTATGCTTAAAAAAAGACAATATATCTGCCAATAGGGTAAGAAAAACATCTTGTTATCCTTTTGAATTAAGTTTATTTTTCTTACCTATTGGCAGATCTATTTTCTTGTTTTAGGTTTTTAAACTCACTTCAATTTAATGCTTTTTTAAGAAAACAAGATATTATTTTGCTTCTCAAGTATGTATCTTGATTCAAGAATGTTTAGATATTTCTACTGCAAAACCAGTCAAAAATATTGAGTAAGAAAATATTTTTTGCAGTGAAGACTGTGATCCTGAGACTTATTCGTGAAGATTACTTGCATAACAAATATGTTTCTTCTCTTGTAAATGTCTTTTTGTCTGCGTGTACTAGCCTATACTGTTTGTTATCGTATGTTTCAATCACATGGGCTGCCAACAGGAAGTCAGACAGGAAGTGATGCGCACCTTCTCGCCCTTGTCTCCTCTGTCTCCACGAGGTCCTTGTTCTCCTGGTGGTCCCTGTGTAGTAAAGGAGGGAAAGTTAACAAGCAACAAGCGAGACCAGAGAATCCCAAGAATGCCAGAAGTATTCCCACCATCGGCCCGCCTGGTCCCCTCGGTCCCACAACCTGAGGGAACATCAACAGAACGCCAGTTAATGACTGGGAGAGGCTTTACCATTTCAAACAAACAGCAGAAGAAGATAAAGATCCGCAGAGTCCACACAGAACCTGGCAGACTTCATTAGTGCCATGTTGACGGATCGCTGCATCCGTTGTGTTTAACTGGACTAGAGCTGCATGATTAAAGATGGCAATCTGGATCCAAACACCCACACAATCTTATTCCTAAATGTCAATGGATCGGCTCTATGTCTTTAAAAAGCACGATCACAGCGAACATTCAGATCTGTGTTCTGATCCAGAGAGAGCCGTTGTCATGTATAGATATAAAACAGCTTCACAAACAGTCTTTTCAACACACATTATCATTAATTCTGTCTTACAATCATTCAGATTATCACAGAAGAACTGGGATAAAAGTTTATAGTTCAGATATAAACACTGATGTCTACCGTAGCGAACGATCGTTATACCAGTAGGTGGCGACAAATGACTGTTAAAAAATGTGTTTGTCATTGAATCTTTCATTAAAAAGATTTGTTCAAAAACGCGGATTCATCCAGTAATGAAACTAGTGAAGGCTGCATCCGAGATCACATACTTCCCTACTATATAATAGGTGAAAAACAGTATGTGACAAAAGAAGTATGTCTGAATTCAGCAGTACTCATTAAAGAGCAGAAGAAAAGTCCCCGGATGATCCACTACTTCTGCTGAGATTCTGAAGTGTGCATATGATGAACACTTTACTATCCCATGAGGCCACAGGAGAGGATTTATTAATGACTGTGAAGCGACGCAACTGGCGCTAGTAAGTCACATGATAATGACATCATGGCGTATGTGGGCATTCATTCTACACACATTCATACTATAGATAGAACATGCTTTCTTAGCCGTCGTGAAGTAATTACTTATTCAAATATGTACCTACTCAAGAGAGTGTGAGATTGCAGAGGCCGAAGTCTTTACGAGTGAGTCATTGAATCATTCATTCAAACAGAGATTCGTTCAAAAACGTTGATTCATCCAGTAATGAAACCAAGGGGGTAATCCATCGACCGGAAGTTGAAGCCGGCCGGGTGCCGCCATGTTGTAGCAGAACTTCACTTGCGTTAGCATTTCCATTGACTCCCATTCATTTTGGCGTCACTTTGACAGCGAATAACTTTACATCTGAGGCGTTTAAAGACTCCATTTGTCCATTATTTATTTCTAAAGAAACACGACAATGTATAAAGGGCTCCATTATCTTCTATGTTACATTATGGCCCCGTAGAAACAGATTTAGTAAAAATAGGCTAACGATTGCGTCATAACCACTCGACTCTCTGTCGCGCTGTACAGAAATTACCGTACAGACAGGAGGAGAAGCTCGCAGGCAATCGGGGGGACGTCCCGTCAAGGGAGAAGCCCATAGATAATGAGTCCATAAAAGCAACGGAATACTTACTCCTGCTCACTCACGCCAAAGAACGCTTTGCTCAAGTTCCCCGTCTCTGCCAGATTAACGTTGGCAGTTTTCACGCACAGCTACTAGAAGATTTACGTCTGTCAGACAGGTTGCTCACGTCATCAAGCTTAGTTTGAGTCGGTCTGAGTCTGCGCGTCAGGAACGGAAGTTCTCAAAAATCGCTAAAAGTGGGCTTCAACTGTCTCAACTGAGTTCCAATGAGATCGCTCTGTCCATTTCTTTTACTGTCTATGAATGAAACAAGTGAAGTCTTTATGAGCGAGTCATTGAATCATTCATTCAAACAGAGATTCGTTCAAAAACGTTGATTCATCCAGTAATGAAACAAGTGAAGTCTTTATGAGCGAGTCATTGAATCATTCATTCAAACAGAGACTATTTTAAAAATAATAATTCAAAGTAAATATTGTTTTTTAAATGGACTGTATTGTTTAGTTGTCTATTCATAATCGTGGGAGAATCGGGATCTCAAAAAAAAAAAAAATTGTGCTTCTCAATTTATCCAGAATCATACAGCTCTAATGTGGACACACACTCTTTCAGGGTGAAGCAGCTGACACACACCTGACACACACACACACACATCTGACATCAATGATAATGGTTTGAAGCTTACATCTGTTATGTCTCCTGGTTCACCTTTTTGTCCCTGTTGCACAATGGAGGGAAATATTAGAAGATATTAGTCCACATTAAAGCAAATATTTCCTTTTTTAAAGAAAAAAGACTACAGCATACACTAACCCCTTCTAAATCATTATGCAAGCTAACAAAATATGTTCAAAGAATTTTTTGCTAACATTCACATTAATGAAAACGCTATTCTGAATGTTATCTGAATGTTCAAAACAAGAATTAATTTAAAAAAAAATTAACAAAACAGAATTTCTGATGTCTTTTTACTTATCCAGTAAATGCTTCTTGATTTAAGAAATTTGAGATATTTGGACTGGAAACAAGACAAAAATACTAAGTAAGAAAAGCATTTTTTGCAGTGTAATGTTTTCAGAACATTACTAAAGTCCAGAATCCTTTGAACAAACAATATGAACATTTATTTATAACTTTGAGAGAACGTTGGCAGAATGTTCCCCGTTATCTGGGATGCTACAGGAAACAATACACAAGCACACACACATTAAGCCCTGAGTGATTGACACTCATACACACATTAACTAACATCTCAGACCAAACACAGGATGAACCTGAGACTTAATCATCACCTACAACACAGTCAGATTCACAAACACACATTAAACACACACTCACCTTAGCACCTGGCAGGCCTGTTATTAACATGGCATGAAAGATAAAAAACAGAGTGTTAAAACAGCATCATATAAAAGCAATCCTAAGCTCTGTGTTTGTTGGCAGAGCCTGAATGACTTTACAGGTCAAATATCCCGTGCATTCAGCGCCGAGTGGATCCTCATGCAGTTTGAGTCTTGAACACCATGTAGCCTATGTATTCATGCATTATGAAAATAATGATTCCATAATTTTTTGGGCCTGTTCATTTCGATATTTCCCAGACTCGAGAGAGAGTCCTCAGTTTATCAATGGCGTAAATGTATACGCACCATTTCTGTGGCGATATTCTTCACATCATAACGTTTAAACCCTTATATTTAAAGGGATAGTTCACTTTGAAATTAATTTTTGGTATGTTTTAGCTTACCTCAAGGGCATCCAAGATGTAGGTGTCTTGGTTTCCGCAGTAGTTTCAATTTTGATATTTTTAGGTCAAACCGTTCTTGTCTGTCAGTCATATAATGCAGGTCTATGGTCACCACCTCAAAGAGCATGCACAGAGAAGTCCAAATTAAACATGATTTAATGACTCGTAAATGTAAGTACACATTGATGGCCTAAGACACGAAACGAGCGGTTTGTGTGAGAAAACAAACAGTATTTATATCGTTTTTGCCTCTTGTAACCACAGCCACGTCCAAGTGATCTGAGGGCGCGGGTGCTTCGGTCTTTTCCGGCAAGCGCCGGAAGTGATCTCTCGCGCGTGTAAGTCACTCATACAATTGTTTTATTATTATTTTTTTTTATTGTTTTCTTTTACGACGGTTTAAACATCCCGGATAAGCGCAAATTAGTACCATTTTAATTAGCCGTCTTACCTACAATCTCTGTTCTGTGTAAACAATGAGTGACGTACACGCGCGAGAGATCACTTCCGGCGCTTGCCGGAAAAGACCAAAGCGCTCGCGCACTCAGATCACTTGGACGTGGCTGTGGTTACAAGAGGTAAAAACGATATAAATACTGTTCGTTTTCTCACACAAACCGCTCGTTTCGTGTCTTAGGCCATCAATGTGTACTTACATTTACGAGTCATTAAATCATGTTTAATTTGGACTTCTCTGTGCATGCTCTTTGAGGTGGTGACCATAGACCTGCATTATTTGACTGACAGACAAGAACGGTTTGACCTAAAAATATCAAAATTGAAACTACTGCGGAAACAAAGACACCTACATCTTGGATGCCCTTGAGGTAAGCTAAAACATACCAAAAATTAATTTCAAACTGAACTATCCCTTTAAAGTCCAAATGTTCAACTAGACAAACGAGTTTTGTTTTGTCTTTGCTTGTCCGTGGATTCCAGGAGCGGATGAAGTTACCGAATGGAATAAGTTAATTTGAGTTGAAGAATGATTGTTTAAACAAATGACCAGTTAATGAGAATTCATTGCATGATTAAAGTCACTCAGATTGCTTAGGAAATGGTTTGCATGATTCTTGCATGTTTTTTAACTGTAATGCTGTTGTTTGCATTGTGAATCTGCCACAAACCAAGATCTGAACATCACAGTCAACCGTAAAAGAGTGTGTTCAATTATTTGTGCAATAATGACTATTCCGGAGCTTAGCTTTGTCCATTTTGTGATGTCAGAAACGTATTGATGTAAAAAAAAAAAAATTTGTCTTCAAGGCACATGAATGATATCCAGAATGTAATCAAAGTAAAGTAATGTTTGATAAATGGTTCAGCGTAAATGAACTGTGATTGTCATTTATTCATAATAGATTTGAAATATGTCTTGTGTACTTGTCTGCGTCCAGCCGTAAACGTTAAATTTGACATTATGATGCTGAACAAACGAATAAATCAAAAATCTAATTCGAGAGATAATATGAAAACGTTCACAGTTTGCCCATATGTGAACTGAGGGCGAGCTACAACCTGCCACTGACGTGCCAGGCGGAGATCGGTGTGCCGTTCACATCTGAGCGCCGGACACGCTAGCAAACACTGAGGCGCTCGGAGAGGCTTTGATCTGAAGCAGATGTCGGCGGCGGGAGGCGATGCACCGGCTCCGTTCATTCTGTATTCAGAGAGCAGATCTTTCCCACAAACAGGCTGCGCTATGATGCTTTCGGAAAACGCAGCGCAGGTCTATATGCTAACGTCTGAGACAAATCTGCTTCGGTGTTTTCTTTCTTTGTGAAACTTTTGTAAAGGTGAGCAAGAGAAACCTCTCGAAGCATTAAGTCAGAGATGAAACTCTATAGCGTGTCTGTTCAAGTGAGTTTCCCTCTTAATCATTCCCATATGTGTCCATCACACTCCTGCCGCCACTGATATCCATTCCAGACAAAGCCAACACTGTGTCTTCAGTTGTTAGTCTTCTCTCATTTTCAGATTGTTTGGTTTGGGTTGACTTTAAAAAAGGCATCCATACATTTTTAGGGCCCTATTTTAACAATCTAAGCACATGGTCTAAAGCACACGGCGCAAGTGCACAAGTGTGTGTCCGAATCCACTTTTGCTAGAAAAAATGGTCAACGGTCCCGGCGCTGGTCTAAAAGTGTCGTCTCTATTCTCTTAATGAGTGATGGGTGTGTGTTGTCTCTATTCTCTTAATGAGTAATGGGTGTGTTTTGTCTCTATTCTCTTAATGAGTAATGGGTGTGTTTTGGGCGTAACGTGCAATAAACCAATCAGAGTCTCTTCTCCCATTCCCTTCAAAAGCCGGTTGCGTGGATTCGCTATTTACTGTACATGACGTAATTTTTCATATTTAAAAATGTTTGTAAGCTGCTGCGCGTCCCTGTGTGTGTAATAAGCAGAGTGTCCACGCGCTGTGGACCCGCCTATAGGCTTATATTACTAACACACTCTTTAAATAACAAAATAAATACTGCGCCATTGACTTTAGAGCAGGTTTCAGTTGGTCAATGGCGCAGTGTATTTCAGTTCCTCAAAATAGCAACGGTCCATCAATGCTCCTGAACACACACCTGGTTCTCAGACCAGCAGCCCATGGGCCACAGATGGACACAAATGCATTTGCTATTTAAACTAGGTGGCGCAGGACGTGAAAATGAAAACTGCGTCGGGCTGAAACTAGCAAACACACTTGCGTCGCGCCTGGCACTGCGTTGCACCGTGTGTATGACAGGGCCTTTTGTCTTTAGTTGTTAGTCTTCTCTCATTTTCAAATTGTTTGGTTTGGGTTCACTTTAAAAAAGGCATCCGTACATTTTTAAGGTGCTTCTTTTAAAAAACCCAAATCTATCAAACCAATATGAATAGACATGTAATTTATTTATAAAAGTGATAAATAAATAAATTACGACCAGGGGAGGAGGGCTGGTCAGCGGCACAGACTGGACAACACTCCCCGAACGGGATCTCGGGTTTGGAACAGTCTTTCAGCTCCTCGCAGATGATATCGTCGCACAGGACCGAGCCGGTGTCGCAAACGCAAATGCGACATGGCTCGGGTTTCCACACGTCCTTGTCACTATATGACTGTCCGTCCTGCGTGCAGCTGCCTGGATCTTCTGTGAGGAGCGTGAGCAAAGGAAGAGGAGGAGGAGGAGGAGAAGCAGGAGGTGTGGACAGTTAAAGCATGTACTGTCAAAATGACATTAAAACTCTATGATTTGGATTTGAAATCCCAAGCCATAGATGCTTCATGATTAGTGTAACATGATCAATCATATTAGTGGGATGCATACAGTAGAAAGCAGGGGTGGGCGATATACCAGTAGACATGATTAATTATTAATTCGAGATTTTAGAGTATCGTCTCTATCACAGTTACGCCCACGTGACGTTGCTGTGCTGTGCCGTCACGAAAGCATATCATTTGCATGCGTTTTTAAGCATTGCAGGTTAAAAACAAGTGATTTTAAACTGTTGAAACGCAAAGAGAGAACTCATTTTGAAAGTGAAAGTTTTGTGAAATCCACGTCTCAGACAGCGCACACATCTGCACTGAGTTCTCTTTCACGTCTACTTGTGATTGAACTGACATATTTAAACCAAATTATGTCAAAATGCCTGTCTTGGCAAGTATACTCGTAAACATAATCAGTTATGTTTTAAGTGGACGTAAACAGTTGAGAAAGAAAATGCATGTGTAACAGTATTAGCTCTTAAAGTGACAGCAGCCTAATGTTTTTAATGTTAATTAAACAACAAAAGACAAAGAAAATCACTCACTGCTCTAGACTGAATAAGTTTTGTGACTTTAGTAAGGATTAATCTATGTTTCATGGCTGGTAAAATATATTTATGGCCAGTACATTTTCTTAAGTCCCCGGCCATTTGTTGATGTGGCAAAAGGTTAGTTATGGAAGCTTGTTTCCGCCACAGAATGACAAATAAAAAAGGTAATTGCGACTTTTTATCTCACAATTCTGACTTTATTTTTCAGAACTGCGAGATATAAAGTCAGAATTGCGTGTTATAAAGTCAGAATTGCGTGATATAAACTCGCAATTGCACGTTATAAAGTCAGAATTGCGAGATATAAAGTCAGAATTGCGAGATACAAAGTCAGAATTGATTGATATAAAGTCGCAATTGCGTGTTATATAGTCAGAATTGTGTGATATAAAGTCGAAATTGCGTGTTGTAAAGTCAGAATTGTGAGATATAAACTATTCTGAGGGGGGAAAAGTTAGTCTTTTTTTTCCCCTTAGAATTGGACTGATAACTCGCAATTGTGAGTTTATATCTCACAATTTTGAGAAAGGATGTCAGAATTTCGAGACATAAACTCGCAATTATGTGTTATAAAGTCAGAATTTCGAGATGTAAACTGGCAATTGTGAGAAAAAAAGCCAGAATTGTGAGATAAAAAGTCGCAATTCTGTCTTTTTTTCTCGCAATTGCAACTTTATTTCTCATAATTGCGACTTTATATCTCGCAATTGCGACTTTATTTCTCACAATTTTGACTTCATATCTCGCAATTGTGAGATAAAAAGTCGCAATTATTTTTTTTTTTTTTTTTTTTTTATTCAGTGGCGGAAACAAGCTTCCATAGTTTTAGGCCCTGCTTATGTGTCAAAATACCCATCTTTGCAAGGATCCTCGTACACATAGTCATGTATATCTTAAGTGAACGTAAACAGTGGAAAAAGAAAACGCATGTGTATCAGTATATTGGATCCATGCATTTGGTCTTAAAGGGACAGTAGCCTAATATTCCTGATGCTGTCTGTGTTATTAATGTTAATCAAACAACAAAGAGAAAATATCTCAATACTCGACTGAAACACTTTTCTCTCACTTTGAAAATGATAAATGTATATTTAATTTACACAGTGAATATTTGCAGTTTTTATACATTTGAAAGAAATACTCATATCGTGATAAAAGATTTTAGTGATATCGCCCACCCCTAGTAGAAAGCATTAAATTTGAGGTTTTTTTGTGCACAGGAACCACCGGATTAATGCATAATCATCCATCTTTACTGTCATCGTCAAGCTCATTCAAATGCAAACCACAAGATGGCAGCACAAAACTGATATCAATGAAACCAGCCAATTAAAAATCATTTCAAAATCTGATCCAGTTGGAACGCTCCTGGTGACTTCTGCCCTGCTGTGACCTGTCCAGATTACCGATAAATGCCACATGAAACCTACCGACTAAAAGAATAAATGAAAAGCAGTCTGTTCACTTTATATCTGACACAGCACTTTGTATACTCAAACTCAAAGTCTTTCAGTAGCAGGTCAATCTCCCAAGCTCATGAATTTGCAGGGGAAATGTGGCGATGGAGAGAGACCGAGGGTAATCAAACAAGCGCTGTTTGTTTCCCTTAAAGGCTGTTTATTTTCTGTAAATTCCTACAGACCCCATATGGCGATGAATGACGCCTTTCTGAAAAGTAAAGACTGAGCAATTCACAAGCTTTTGCCTAATCTAAACAGCAGGCTCTGTACGCTGCCAGTTCAAACATGCCAGAGAGAGTGAAGAACAGACAGCTTTCACTCACACACACACACACACACACACACGCTTCAGGCCTTCCTTCCATTCTCTTTCTAGCGCCACCTTTTTCTTTTTTGAAGTGGAAAATGGAGGAAAACTCCAAATTGGACACAGGTGAGGGGAGGGATTGTTGTCTTTCCTTTTCTCTCTTTCAGACCTTTGTGTAGGTTAACGTCATGACGTCGGGAAACCCACAGGCCTGCAGTCTGAACACCTCTGAAATATGTAAAATGATGCCATGACTGATGGTTTAACAAATGGACCCAGACGAGCCGATCCATGACCTGCTCACTATGAGGAAACACTCATATGCCTCTCTGCTACAATAACCCAATTGTTAGCTTTTGCTCAGATTTCTCTCTCTCTCTCTCTCTCTCTCTCTCTCTCTCTCTCTCTCTCTGCATAATTGCTTCTTTTCAACAGGGTTCGTACAGATAAAATGAAATTCCAGGACTTTCAAGGACTTTTCAAGCTCTACTTTTTTGGTTTTCAAGGACTATAGTCAGAAATCTCACTTTTCAAACTCTATATTTATTATCTATCAAATTCTAATTAATAGATAAATAAATAAATAAATGGTGCAAATAAAGTGCAGCACTTGCAATGACTGGTAACTTTAACCATTGAAAGGATACTATGACAAATATATCGCTTTCCTTATTCAAACTGATTTTTCTCCCATGAATATATGATTGAGCTGAATAATGAAAGCTGTATCATTTACTTGGATATTTATATGAGCAATATCAAGCTCATAGCTATGCAAAAGGGCTCTATATCCATATCAGACGGGCTGCCGCGTTCAGTTTGTGAGAAAAGATTGTTTTATCAATAAAATTAAACACTAATTTAACTAATATTGTCTTTCAATAATTTAAGCACTTTTCAAGTATTTTTCATAAATATGGCTGTGTTCAAGAGTTTTCCAACTGCAAAAAATTATACGATCAATAAGTTAAGACAACGTGTTTTTACATTGCTTTAACTCCTCAAAATAAGTTAAGCAATTTTCAAAAAGAAATTACAAGTTATACAAGATTCAACTCATTTAGGTCAGTTTGCGGCAATTTAAGCTGAAATAATTTAAACATTAAAGTTGATTGTACTTGAAACTTTAAGACAGAAACTTTTTTTTACAGTGACTTCAAGTGCGGGCCAAATTCAATTACTTCAAGCACTTTAATCACCTTGTACAGACCTTGTTTTAACTGTATTTTATTGTCATTTTTTACTGCCTTTTATGTAAAAGCAAAACTCACTGAAATATCTTTTCATTTGTTTACTGGCGAGCTTATTTCCCCTTTAATTCAAAAGTATGGTCGAAGGAATGTGACTTGCTGAATTATAATAGCTGCTTCTGTCCTTTTCATGTTTTTCCAATAGCTTTTCGCCAGACAGTCTTTCCTTCTTTCCCTGGACTATCGTAGCCCCTGGGTAATTTAGGAAACAGATGGAAGCACTTTAACTGTATGGAAGGGTAACAGTACTCTGGCTGAGGCCCACCGTTCCTGAACCCAACTACTGATGCACCTCTGAAACCTTGCGCTCTGGATGAGTGAAATATAAAAGTAGTGCTTTCTGAATCCCTCCAGCTCTGAATTCTGACAATTCGAAGACATTAGGAGCATCTGCGTTTTGTGCATGCCTGGATTTGCCCCGGTGGCCCCTGACAGCAGAGGAATGTGCTCTTTAGGGCCCGACCAGCTGAGCCTCGAGCCATCAGGAGGGCTTCAGACAGACATCAGCACAATTGCACAAATAAAACAATTGCTCAGTAAATAAATGAGTGCTGTGTGTGTGTGTGTGTGTGTGTGTGTGTGTGTGTGTGTGTGTGTGTGTGTGTGTGTGTGTGTGTGTGTGTGTGTGTGTGTGTGTGTGTGTGTGTGTGTGTGTGTGTGTGTGTGTGTGTGTGTGTGTGAAGGCTTTAGACGTGTCCTGCAGGTGACCTGATGCTGAAATACCCTGAATACCTTCAGACTCAGAATAAACACAGACTAGTCACAATGATTCCACTTCAAAAATGCCCGAAATAGGCTAAATAAAAGAGAAGAAATTCTTCTTCTTTTTAAAAACTGAAAATATTCACGTGTTCTAGTTTCTTTGTTTTGCATTAAACGCTTTATTAGGCTACTTCAAATAGGTACATTTGCCACAATATCTCAATAAAGCTGGTTAAGTATTTCCTTTCATTAAGCCTATTATTTACCTATTATTATTTGCGGTTAAAGTCTAAAAAAAACACTTTTCTAAAACTTTTGAGAGTAAAATGAGAAAATGGTAGGCAAACTCACGGTCATTCTCGTCTTGGCATTTGACAACGGCCAAAAATGCGACTAGTGTTGCCACAAATAGCAGTAAAGTCCTTGAATCCGCCGACAGGATCATGTCTAAACTGCAGACATGCGGCGTTTCAGGAGCAGGAGAGAAAGAGCTGGGATTTACTGGTTTCTCCTAGTGACTGGAATGATGCATTTAGTCCAGAATGGAGGTCGATGAGGCACAAACTTCTGCAGATTCTCCGTGCGGACTGATCCAGGGGGCGCGCGTTTCAGTCCATACAGCTTTGAATGGAGAGCCGTATTTTTGGAAATAAAAATCCACCCCTTTACCCCCCATGAAGTTGAAATTGGAGAAGTGTTGCCCTTCTCTCTCCTCTCTCCTCTCGCACCCATTCTTTAAGAGCCCGACCGAGAGAAGACGCCAAGAAAAATAATCCTTTCAGAAAGAAAACATTATGGGCTAATATGATCGAGTCATGTGTAGCTACTGTACTTAAAATAAGCTGTAAAGTAGCCTATTCGAGTGAATTTTAATGTAGGCTATATCGCTTATTAAAGATTAATTATGTAATAGCTGCATGTAAATAATAATGAATAAATGTAATAGTTGGTTAATGTGGATTGAACCTTGATTTGTTGGAGATTTCAGTGGTCATATAAATGAACATGATTCATTAAAATATTGATCAAACTTGACATCATTAGCATGCTATTTTGTTGATTTTACGTTTCATTGTGCACAAGTTGGGGACATTTGACCCTCACAGAGCCAACTAACACACACCAAGAAAATATATACCACGGTATAATAATAAAGCTTAAGCTTAAAGTCTGAAATCAAAATGTAAGTTTTTTTAAACTTTTAGTATATGTTAGTGTAACTGTTATCTATAAGCAAGTGCTCAAAAAAATGACAGAATTGTGGAAGTTTAGTTGGAACTTTAGTTTAGTTGTCTTCTCATACACTACGCATGGTCATTTACCCACTGCATCTTGTATTGTTAGGCTACATGTTGTGAAGTGTATTGTCTATTTGTTATTTGTAATGTATACAAACATACTGTACCGAAAACAAATTCCATCGGCATTGTCGTTGTTCTAAATTCACATTTAGAAAATATATAAGCGTTAAAAACTTGCAAGTCTCTCACTTCAGCCAGGGATCAGACTTTGATGACATCACTGCATTTCAGCTTCTCGTCAGATTTTCTGTCCAATCAAATGCTCTCTAGAATCTGAAGCTCCGCCCCCTACATTATAAATAAACGCTGAAGCTGCAGCTGAAATCGGTCACTTGCTCATACATTCATTATTTTCTACATGGTGAATGGCCCATAGTGCATATAGGGAACGATCCAGACAGTGTAAACTGCGGCTTTACCGAGCTCAACCATAATTACATGGTCAAATATCAAACATTAAAATGATTTAATGCACAGCTAGCCATGGATTATCCCCACTTAACACCAACACTAAAACACACATTAACAAACTAGTCAAGGTCTTCAGGAAACTTGCAGGACCGGACACCTGATATACACTGATGAAAACGGGCCATATCATTAGATTTGGTTAACAGAGGGGTCCCACAGAAGTGACAGGAGTGTGTGTGTGTGTGTGTGTGTGTGTGTGTGTGTGTGTGTGTGTGTGTGTTTGTGGTAAAGAGTAAAGATGCTTTAGGGCAGGAGTCACCAACCCGTCGATCGCGATCGATCGACAAGTCGATCTTGGAAGCATTTTAAGTCGATCGCGAAGAGTTTTCAAAATCAGAGAAAAAACACCAATATTTGTATTCCTTATTATTTATTAATTAAAAATGCACCACGTGTGAGCCTACTGTGTGTAGTAAATCGTGTCTAGGGGATGCAGAGGCGCGCGCGCCGTTACAATGACGTCATTTTTGGCTCATGCGGACGCGTCGAGTATAAACAAGGCTTCACGCTTTAACCAGCTCAGCCACTTCACACTACGCTCACATCAAGCTCTTCAAGCTAACGATACGCAAGCTAACTAAACGATGGCACAACGGTGAGGGAGTAGGCTATTGCTAGTTTGAAATCTTCAGGGGTTTTCCTGCATAGACAATTATGAGGCGGCCGCCTCCGTCAAATGTATAGTTAAGAAACAATATAACGTTATAGACTACACACGACCAGAGTGCTGTTTTCCTGAATGCAAGCACGATTGAAACCAAGATATTGATTTCGTAACAGTTCAATAAACAAATAGTTAAAATTAAGTTACTTACATTTTTAGACGCAATTACTGTTTTTGTTCTGTTTCAGCAGCGAAAATAGTTCCAAACAACAGAACCAGCGCATCTCACAGCAACACTCATCCATTATTCATCACTGAATGATTCAGCGTTTTGACCTAATCGCTCGAGTCAAAGATTCAATTAACGTTACCCATTATTAAACCGCCTCATTCTGAATCAATCAGCCGTTTGAACGAATCGTTTGAATGAATGACTCAATGACTCGCTCATTAAGACGGCCGCCTGCCGCTTCTACTGGCGGTTTAGTTTCAAAGTATCATTCTTTTCAACATTCCTTATTTGTATATTCAAAAAATATTCAAAACAATCTCATGATCTCATTTAATACAGTTATAATTTTTCAATGTAAATTATTTAATTTGTTTGGTAACAGCCTTGTCGAAATGAAATTTAGAGCATACCAGTAGGCCTACATGAAATAAAATTAGGGGGAAAATGCCCTTTATAAAGGTACAAAAAATTATTCCGATAAGAGTGTTTTCAAAAATGAAACATTGACCATTTAAGTTTAAAGGGAGTAGGCTAAAGCCTCTGTTTAGGCTATAAAGGAAATGTAATTTTGCCAAAAGAAGAACTTTTAATTTAAATAAATGTTAATTTTAAATCAGCCTACTTCAGTGTGATATGTTACCATATTATCATGCTTAATTGAATAATTGTAATGTGATGATCAGATGCAGATATCTAAATCAAAGAATATGGGTGGTTGGCAGGTGGATTATTTTAAATTTTTAACAACAGATTCGAGTGACTCAAAGTGCACCAGATTAATGAATTTATCTTTAAAATGTACAAATTTTTCTCCCGGGGGGGCATGCCCCCGGACCCCCCTAGTGTTACGATTTTACCACCTCCGCCTCATTGAGAGCCGGGAAAAACCCTTTATTGGCTATTGTTAAAAGGAGATCTGTGTTTTATGTTGTTGGAAAAGGGAAAGAGAAGTGCTGTACATGACTGTTTTAGGCCTGTAATTGATTGATTATTGAGGTAATGAATAGTAGTAGGTCTGTAATTTGTGTCAAAATATTTTTGAAGAATTGAAGGATGACTGTTGTCATAATATTTTGTATGCTAGTTGCACTTACCATTTTGATTTGAAATAGCCTATGTTTTAAAAGGGAAAATGAAACAGTACATTATTGGCTTAGGCCTGTAATTGACTGATTATTGTGTTTATATATGAGTAATAAGCCTGTGGATATATACTTAACAATGTTTTATTACTGTTGAAAATGTTGAATTATAGTTGACAGTTTGTATAGTTATATACTATTTGTATAGTTAAATAAATATTTTGCTAGTGACTAACAGGCAACAAAGAATGTCAAAGTAGAACTACATTGTGGCCTTGTTTTTTCATAATTGTCTGCAAGTGGTAGATCTTGGTTTACATTTGGACTTGGGATGTGATCTTAGGCTTGAAAAGGTTGGTGACCACTGCTTTAGGGTGTTTTAGAAGGTCAAAGTGCAGGGAAAGAAATGGGCTGTGATGGATATTTTTTGTCACGAATGGCCTGAACTGTTGGAACAGGTGATAGACAGGGTTAAAAGATGTCAACACTGGTATTGTCAAGTCGTTTGCCCAGGTGGTACCAGTAGACCAATAGTACATTTGTTTAACAATCATAAAATGCTAATGAAATGCCTAAAACAATGTATTTGAAAATGTAATGGCATCTATTCAGGTCAGGGACCAGTGAGGAATATACTGGGGAAAACACATCAACAATAAAGGCATCCAATGCTTCATAAACAGGGAGTCACATGAACACTTCACCAATAACATGCTCAGACACTCACAAACCAGATACAAAGATGAAAAGTCTAGAGTGAACTCTAATCTTAAATATTAAAATCCCACAATTTGGCGAAATCAAAGTGCTGGTGCAGTTTAACGTTTTTTACATCATCACCATCGCTTCATACAGTTGTTTTATGTGGGTTTTGTTGTTTCTAGCGAGTGCAACCTCTGAGGAAGAGCTGGAATGTTAACCTCGGTTAGGAAATGTCCTAAATTAAGCGTTATTTCAGTGGAGGAATGAATGCTTGACTGATGCAGGGGAGTTTAAATATAGCAGCGCACTGGAGGTTTTTATTAAAAGGCTGGTATTCATTGGGAGCTCTGGAACTTTATTTGCACTTTTTAACACGTCTGCAATAAATAAAAATAAAATATCATTTGGAATGAGATGCCAGTGACGGCCTTGGTTCTTACGACTTCCTCTTTTGATGAATTACTGCTGCCATTATTGCAAGAAAATATACACAAGTTTTCTAGCATTTTGGTAGCATGCACATTGTTTTAGAACTCTTAAAGGCATAGTTCGCCCAAAAATGAAAATTATCCATTCATTTACTCACGCTAAAGCCATCTTAGGTGTATATGACTTTCTTCTGTCAGCCAAACACAATCAAAATTATTTTAAACAATATCCTGGCTCTTCCAAGCTTTATAACGGGAGTGAATGGTACCTGAGATTTTGATGCCCAAAAATGATAAATATCCAAAAATTATCCATATTATCCAGATAATAAACTATAATCACTGGCTTCCGGTAATTGCCATATGCGAGTCTAGTTCCAGAGGAGAGGTCACCTATGACTCGATTTACTCAATTTACTCAATTTTAATTTTTTGGGTGAACAAACCCTTTAAGTCTGAACTAGCCTATGTGATATTTTTTCTGAAGGAGCCATTAACCTACAAAGCAAAGGGAAATACTGTTAAAATTGTGTACACAGACCTCAACTCTCGACGCACAAACCTCATTAACAATGACAATCAACTAATATAAATCAACAAATAACTAACAATAATGACAAAACAACTGTCATGGTTCCGGCCAGGGAAGAGGATCTCGATCACAGCAGTTTAGACAGCAATCCAGAAGGCAGGAATCAATGTAACAGCTTCACTAAAGTAAACACAATACAGTAGAGCTAAAATACACAGGAGAAAACAAACTGAGCAAGAAACAGGTACACAAAGCAATCAGTAGCCATGGCAACAAACAAGGGCATAAT